TGGAAGCGAGGGGATTCGGAAGCGATGGTCATCGTCGGTGTAAAGCTAATGTTTTGGTGCTGCGCAGGATAAGAGGAAGAAGAATGGCTGATGTTTGGTCCATTTGCTCTGTTGGCTTCTTTATAATATGGCCAAATGAATCATTTTGAGAGGGGGAGGTGGGGAGAAGAGAAAAACAAGGAGAAAATCTGGGAAAAAATCAAACAAAATCTGGAGGAAAGATCCGATCGATTTCCTCTGAATCTGCGCAACATAATTTGCGGTCTATTCTGAAATATAAAATTCAGTGCATAGTTTTCAATGATATTTGCTATCTGTATTTACATTTTTATATTCTTATATTCTCTTGCTATTTTTCCTTTTTAATGGAAAAATTAATGAATATTTCAAGGAAGAGCTAATAAGAAAATGATATGTTTCAATGAAATTTTATGAGAAAAAAGATGATGAAAGAAATTATCCAAAATCTTATCATCTTATCATGGTCTTATTGATAAATAACTTATGACTTCAATTTTAAATGTTACCAAGTCAAATTTAAGTTGATTGTGACCACTTGGTGTCTCATGAGCTAACTATTTTGATAATGCACAATATATATTAGCATGCAAGAGTTTAAGTGCAAAGTCATAATATTAACATTTGTATTGTGGATATTTATATTAAATAATTTATTTTAATTTCTTTTTTTTTTTTTTTTTAGTACATTGATAGTTTGCGCTTTTATAATAAGTTATTCAACTCATGAGCCAAACTGAAATCATTACTTAAAGTTTGAGAATGGTTTGAAGCCTCGAACTTTGCTCAGCTCATTTACGGCCTTCGAATGCATTTCAAAACTATTTATTTATTTTAAAATAAATATAATAAAAAACTTGATTCATAATCTTAAAATCAATGATATCAAAGCTCATGCAAGTTAAATTTTGAATTTAATGTTCTTAAATAAAATTTCTCGAAAATAATGAATGTTATTGCTTATTTTAGACTAGAAAATATCGTTTAAGCTTGGTCGCTTTGAATTGGGCTAGTGCCATTAGAGTTTGTGTTTTTTGAATTAGGCAAGTACCCTTTTTAGCTTAGGCCAACGAACCTAAGTACATTTTTTTTTTAATTCTAAAGGAATGGTCGAAGGCTACTAGATGAGTCTCTATCATCCCTAAGT